GCAAGAGCGGTGCGAAAGAGCGCCCAAACAGCGACGGGAATGAGAAAAGGGTGGCTCCAGCTTCCTGCTACTCCCGTCCTCTCTTGGATAAGGGGGGGTGAGGTACCAACATCTTGGCTGGGATAAGCCTGGCAGCAGAAGCCACCAGTACTGGTGGCGGGTGTTTGGCTCGCACCACTACTGCAGCCTTCGCTACAGTCGCTGGTGCTGCATCTGGTTTGTCAGTCGAAAGCTGGGCGAGGGCTGGCACATCCGTGGCTGCTAATCCGGTCTTCCCGGAAGAAACAAACAAATTCCCGGAGTAAAGCTCAGCGTAATAAATAGTAAACAGGCTGCTTCCCGGAAGAAAACAAGTTCTCAGAGCTCCGTTTTAGTAGCCACGGGTTTGCCAGCCTTCGCCCGGCTTCTGAGTCAGCCTTGAGCGTGGGGGGGGTTGGGCTGGATTCAATCGTCGAATGCGACAGGACATGAGATGAGTTTGCTGTCGCTGCATCTGCTGGCGCCTTAGATCCTGGAATTCTGGGAGCCCCAATGTGAGATTGCTCCGCGTATATTCCCCGCCTCCTCCCCCGCCTTCTGCAAGGCTGCTTGACATCGTAGCTTTTCTTCGTTCTGTCATTTCGGTCACGGTGAGGGTTCGGACCCCGTCGTGTTTGAATTTCTGGTGCTGGAGATGCATCACCAAGATCCGAATTGTCGTGATTTCGAACATGTCATGCTTTTTTGCGTCTGTCGTGACCATCGGTCGGGAAGGAGTCCTGATCTTGGGTGATATCACGTTCCTCATTAGGCAGGTCGTGGTAGTGGTCAAGCACGCCCCTGTCGTAAATGTGATCCAAATCCAACTCGGTGTTTCGTTTCAGTGGCAGCCAGGCGGTCAAGAGTCTTGTTGATTCCATCCTGTGCTTTGCGACGTTGGACTGCGAGCGGTTTCGCTTGCCACAGCGTTCATTGTAGAATTGAAAGCCCGTGCTCTTGCTTACTCAACATTGCTCCATATTGCCGTCCCTGTCTGAGAAGATCGGCCAGGTTCTCGATTGTGTCTTCCACCATCACTTTGGAAGGCCGGATATGGCCGGGAACGCCTTGATGCTGGACGTATTACGAGATTTGTGCAGCATCCAGATGTTGCCGTCGTTGGTCCGCCATCTCATGTTGGTCCTTCGGTACGACGGCTTGCACCCAGCCCCTGTTGCACGACCACTCATGTCCACGATTCTCCGTATGGTATCGTCCACACATCCAGCTTCCAGGAACTTGCTGCTGCTGCCGCTGCTTGGGAGGCTGGTAGTCATGCTGCCTGCGCGACATCTCGCTTGCCGAATGGTGAGCTTCAAGATCGACTGCGCCTTGGCGATCCTGACGATGGTCTTCGGCTGGGCGCGGATGCGCCGAGCGCGCCTGCGCCAGGCGGTCTCTGGGCGCTTGGCCGTGGGGTCCTCCGGCCCTGCGCTCGCTTACTGCCGCGGGCCGCCGTCGCCGGAAACCGCGGCCGCTGCGGGGGCCGTAGTGGGTGCCACCCCCCCAAGCGGTGTCTGAGGCGGCGTGCCGCGCTGCCGCCGCCCGGGCGTGGGCAAGCCGCGCGAGGCCGTCCCACCCCGAGCGGGCAAACGGCCTCCATGTCCTCCTTTTCCTCCTCCTCCTCCTCCTCCTCGTCCTCCTCAATCCTCCTCCGCCTCCCCCCCCCCATTCCCCCACCTCCTCCTCCTTCTCCTCCTCCTCCTCCTGTTCCCCCTCCTCCTCCTCCTCCTCCTCCTCCTCCTCCTCCTCCTCCGCATCCGCATCCGCCTCCTCCTGCTGTTCCTCCTCACCCTCCTCCTCCTCCTACATCCCTTTCCTCGCCTCGCGCAGCGCGCGCGCAGCGTGCCTGCAGGCCGCCGTGTTCACGCCGACGGTGCGCCGCGGGGGCGGGTGAGGTCGCTCGCCCCGCCCCGCGGCGAGAGGGCGGCGGCGGGGGCTGAGCGACGGGAGCGCGCGTGCCACGCCGACGTTGCTGCCGCCGCCGACGCCGACCACTACCACGACCACGACCACGACCACGACCACAACCACGACGACGACCACCACGACAACAACCACGACAACAACCACGACGATGACAACGACCACGACGACCACGACGACGACCACGATCACGATCACGACCACGACCACGACCTCGGGCGACGTCGAGTGACCACCTCACCGATCCTGGCCTCTTGGAAGCTCCTCGTCGCCACGGCTCGCCTAGCGGGCGGCTGGCTCACCTCGCCGCAGTGCTCGCACAGACGATGCGCCGCGAGGGGGGCGGGTGCGCTCGCTCAGGCCGCGGCGAGAGGGGAGGGTGGTAGCGGGGTGGGCTCAGGTGCGGCCAAGAGGGGGGTGATGATTGGGGGGGGAAATGCAGTCGAAAGTGGTAGTGAGGATGAGCGACTTCCAAAGCGTAGCCTTGCATCCTTGCCTCCTCGGTCCGCCCTTGACCACTCTTGACGGCCAGCCCCGCTCGAAGAGCCTCGACATGGGAGGGCATCCTCGCTGTCAGTTTTGACTGCATCATGGCTGGGAACTTGGTATCTCTGGCATCTCAGGCTATGTCCGCACTTCTTCTATCAGTGCGCCCTAATCGACGCTCTCGGGGCCGCGCACCTGCCTCGGGCCGTGCCTTGAGACCCTCTTCTTGGAGACCCCCCTCCCGGACGCTCCCACTCTGCGGCGGGAGCGCACCTGCCACGCTCTTCCTCCCCTCTCCCCCTGTCGCCTCGTCGTTCGTTCCCCCCGCCGTGCTCTTGTCCTCGTCGTCGTCCTTTGAATCTCCTGGGCCGGTGCGGGACTGTTCCTGAGCCGACGCCCAGCTGATGAGGCAGGCGCGTCTCACCGAGGGCCGGCGGGGGCCATGGACCCGAGTCATGACACGACCACCAGGCAACGGTCGGGTCGGGTGCTGCCAGAGGTGTTCGGGGCCCATGGCTTCCCCTGGATCTCGGGCATTGCGTAGTAAGGGGGGGGTAGACTCAGGTGGGGGGGGGAAGAAAGGAGCACCTTTCGTGCACCTCAGAGGCCCCCTGGGGCCCAAAAGGGGCACGAAAGGTGCATCTTTCTCACCCCCCCCCGCCGTTATCGTCAGATGAGCGGCATCGTCGGATGAGCGGCTGGCTGGCGATTACACTGGTCATGGCTATACCGTCACGCATCTTGTCGCATTCCATTGTCGTTTCACTATGTGTAGTTGTTTTGTTGTTTCGTGTGGTTGATGGGTGTTTCGGCCTCACCCTGCGGCATACGCGGTGCACGAAGCAGGCCGATGTGCGATGATGTCCCCACCCCGCTTCTCGCTGCCCATGAAGAAATGGTCACGGATCTCTGTGGGAGGCCCGAGCGGCATCCAGCGGCACCCCTCGCGAGGCCCAGAGGCCCCCCCCAGGAGGCGGGGAGGTTGCGGCACCGTTCAGCAAAGAGTTGTTGCCAAACTTGCTCATGGTCCTTGCGGGAGGGGCCTAAATTGTTGCCCTTTCTTCATCGGCCATTCTTCCTTGGCCTCGCTGGATCGACGCCCCCCCTCCCTTCCCCTCCACCGCGTCCTCCTCCCTCCTTTCCTGTCGCCACGTCCGCCTCCCTCCTCCTGTTCCCCCACTCCTCCTCCCTATAAGTAACTCCTCCCCATCGCTCCGCCAGACGTCTTCGTAGGCTGGGCTGGGAGTTTGGCTTGACATTCCCCTATAAGTCAGCATTCCGAAGCAAAGCAATTAATTCTAGCACTCACCCATGGGTCGCGGAATATGCAGATCCCAATCTACTTTGGCCGCCTTGCTACCTCATGAGTCGACTTGTTTTCCTTCTGTCCTCCTCATTAGGGGGCGGGCGGAAGCCCAATCTATTTCAAAGCCTTCCTACTTCATGCTTCTACCCACTTCTTCCGACCGACGGGTAAACCGATGGAGGGCAGGCCGGTTTCAAATTGTAGTTCTCGCCTTACCGCCGCAGACAAGCGGTCTGAATAATCTTTCTATTTACCCAGATCGAAGGCTGGTCGTTTTCAGAATGCTGTTCTTGCCGCCGCGCCGTGCACATTTGTTTTAACAGTGTCAAGCAGGTACACTGGTTGAGGGCCGTCGTTTCCAAAATGGGGATCTCGCCAGAGTGCTGCGGACGCTCGGTTTACAAGTTTCCACCAGTTTCATGGGTGGATGTCGGTACGTTTTCAAACTTGGGGTTCTTCCTTGATAGTTCCTCAGGCCTCAAAACGATGCCACAGCAGTTATATGAGTCATAACCATTTGCACGGATGCAGGGTTGATTCATAACCATTTGCACGGATGCAGGGTTGTCGTCGGGAACATCGTAAGCTTGCATGTCCAGATGTTTCGTCTCACGGTTTAAGATGTGCCACAGCGCCGCGTGGATGCACCAATGCATCGTGGTGCGTTTTCACAGCAGGGCCGTCGCTGGGCACCTCCGAATGTCAAAGCCCTCCTGGACACATTCCCTCGTGTGTATCTTAGGGTGGAGGGCGGTCTTCTTCAGAGCGGGGCTCCCGCCTGAGTTGCTGGCCCGTGGGGCGTTCGTCAGTCGAGTGGGGGCTCTTTCCCGCAGGGAAGAAATAGTTTTCGACCTATTTCGACCTATGGGGTCTGCTCCAGTGGCGCCTCGGGGCTGGAGGGTGCACGGCAGCATCGTTGACAACTCTGGGGTTTATTCTGGCCCCCCTCATCTCCTCGTTTCATCCCTGTCCTCCTCACTGGCCTCGCAGCGGTGTGCTGACCCTGCCCCAGTGTACATGTTCGATTTCCCCGAGGAGGAGGAGGAGGAGGAGGAGGAGGAGGAGGAGGAGGGGGAGGGGAAGGTGGAGGAGGAGGCACTTGAGCTGCTTCTCCTCCTCGTCCTCTCATCCTCCTTCTCACCCACCCTCTCCACCTCAAGAGGAGGTGGAGGAGGATGAGGAGGTGGGTCCTCCTCCTCTTCGCCCTCCTCCTCCTCCTCCTCCTGCGCCTCCTCCCCCCCCCCCCGTGTCAGCGGACGGGAAGGCCTGTGGCGCGCCCTGCGCGTGAGGCAGGGCACCGCGCCGGCCCGCCGCGGCAGCGGCGCTTGGGCCGCGGGCGCGCGGCGGCTCTGGCCTTGGGCCCTCATCGACTAGGCGTAAGAGTGACCTTTCGCCGGAATGACTTTTGGTGCGGGCACCCAGATGGCCGAAGGAGAAGCGGTAGCAGCGGCTTGCGCGCGTGTCGTTGTCCCCCCCGCGGTCCCAAAAAGCCGCGCACCAAAGGTCACTCTTACCCAGGGTCACTATTGCGTGTAGTCGACCTCATTGAAGTGGGAACGGAAAATTTGGGCACGAAGACCGTTCGGCGGCGAAACCTGAACCTTGTGTAGCCTGAAGGAGGAATGACGCCGTAAACAGAAACTTTGGCGCTCCGCGCGGATTTCTCGGAACCGCGCTGGGGCCCCCATGGCGGCGCCTCTGGCGCCGCCCTTGGCGCGCTCCGCGCGCCAGGGAGGGGGGTCCAGCGCGGATCCAAGAAAGCCGCGCGGAGCGCTAAAATATTATGATTATTCCGTGTTTTCTTGTTCTACGTTGGGCGACGAAATCTGAACCTTCTATAGCACCAGGCAGCTGCGGACAAGAGTGAGGGGGCGGGCGCGGGTTGGTTCGCGGGTGGGTCGCGGGTGGGTCGCGGGGTGGGTCGCGGGTGGGTCGCCGGTGGGTCGCGTGGGTCGCGGATGGGTCGCGGGCGGGTCGTGGGTGGGTCGCGGGCCGGGTCGCGAATAGGACGACGACAACAAACAACAACAACAACAACAACAACAATCATTTTACCCGAACGCGCGGTGTTCTCCCCAGTGCCAGGGTTTTCATACGACACCAGGCAATACCCCCACTTCGTGGGGGGGCATTACAAGCTCTACCAAATATCCAAACGACTCTTCGCGACCACCCAAACCCAGCTTCCCGCCCTATGACGTTGGGACACTTCACTTCGTGGCGTGCGGACGACCGTGGCTACTACACTGGCGTGGGGTACACACCCACAGAAGTTGTGAAGCCTACGTTCGTACACCCACAGAAGTTGTTAAGCCTTGTTAACCCACAGAAGTTGTTAAGCCTTCCACATAACATCTGTTGCATATGATGCATATGATACATGCGCGGTGCTAAAATTCTTAAGAAGCCCAATGGTTTTTGGAGATTTCGGCGTGCGCGCGCGAAGAAAAAACGAATGTGTCCCGCATGGTATTATTTGACAGGGATGATGGCCCTGGCAGGTGCGCAACCGTTGTCGCAGAAGTTCGAAAAAGTTGCTCGCAAAAGCCCGTTTGACAGAAATGTTTAAAAAGTGTTGGGTTTCCTACGAATCCGCAAGAGCGCGCGGGATGAGATTTTGACATTTTTTTGTTGAAAAACCATTGGTTTTTTGATGTTTTTATGTTAAAATCGCTCCGAACACTAAGCTTTTGGAAGGATTTCGTCTTGCGCGCGCGAATGTCCACTTTACCTTATTTTTTGCAAGGGATTCTTGAAATTTGATTATATTAGAACAAGAAATGTCATTTTATAGTGTTTTTTGCAAGGGAAAACGGATTACAACAAAACAACCGGATCTTGATCACCTCGAATTACCTGAGGCTTCCTCACGAAAATGATGAAAATGTGGCTGCGGCCTAGGCGCGGCGGGGGGGGCGCGCACCAGGGGGCCCAACAATAATTATTCTTTAGAATTAATAATGTTCAACAACAACAACAACAATTACTAGCACGTGGGGACACTCCGTTCTCACCAGTGCCAGGGTTTTCATAGGAGGCGGGCAATACCCCCACTTTGTGGGGGGGCCGGTTCAAGCTCTACCAAATTTCCAAACGACTCTTCGCCACCACCCACACCCAGCTTCCCGCCCTATGACGTTCGGACACTTCACTTCGTGGCATGCGGACGACCGTGGCTACTATTCAGGGCCCCGCGGCCGACGACGACGGCGTGCGCGCGCGAAGAAAAAACGAATGTGTCCCGCATGGTATTATTTGACAGGGATGATGGCCCTGGCAGGTGCGCAACCGTTGTTGCAGAAGTTCGAAAAAGTTGCTCGCAAAAGCCCGTTTGACAGAAATGTTTAAAAAGTGTTGGGTTTCCTACGAATCCGCAAGAGCGCGCGGGATGAAATTTTGACATTTTTTTTGAAAAACCATTGGTTTTTTGATGTTTTTTATGTTAAAATCGCTACGAAAACTAAGGTTTTGGAAGGATTTCGTCTTGCGCGCGCGAATGTCCACTTTACCTTATTTTTTGCAAGGGATTCTTGAAGTTTGGTTATGTTAGAACAAGAAATGTCCACTTTAGCTTATTTTTTGCAAGGGAAAACCGATCGTAACAACACAACCGGATCCGGACCAACCCGTTTTGCCTGAGACTTCCTCACGAAAATGATGAAAATGAGGCTGCGGCCTAGGCGCGGCGGGGGGGTCGTGCACCAGGGGTCCCAACAATAATTATTCTTTAGAAGTAATAATGTTCAACAACAACAACAACAACAACAACAACAACAACAACAACAACACCAGCAACAACAACAACAACAACACCAGCAACAGCAACAGCAACAGCAACAGCAACAACAGCCACAGCAACAACAACAGCAACAGCAACGGCAACAACAACAGCAACAGCAGCAACAACAACAATCATTTCAAGACTGCTCGCCCTTTATCTGCTCGAGTGTCCAATAACGCCTACTTCCCAAACCCTCGATACTCGCCCTCTTCGTCTTCGATCGAACCCTTTTTGGTGGGTATACCGTTCTTCCCTGCAGGATGGGCCCCGGCAAGCGGCGGGGCGGCCGCGGACCGTCGGCCTGGCCAGCGGCAGCGCTGATCGGCGGGGCGGCCGCGGACCGTCGACCCGACCCCAAGAGGGACGGACAGGGGACCGACCACGACGACGACGACGACGACGGCGACGGCGACGGCGACGACGACGACGGCGTCGACGACGACGAGCGAAAGCGAGAGCGAAAGAGAACGACAGCAGGGCCACAATGACACGAAGTAGGCCGCGAAGGGCAACAGCGGGGACACGAAGGGAATGCGTATGGGGCCACGAGGAGCGCGAACGAGCGGGGGCCACGAAGGGCAGATAATGCGGGGCCACAGAAGGCAACGATGGGGCCACTGAGGGCAGCAACTGGACCACGTAGGACAGATGCATATGGGGCCACCGCGGGCGCGAACGAGCGAGGGCCACGAAGGGCAGACATGTATGGGGCCACGAAGGGCAGCGAGGGGGCCACGAAGGGCTGCAACGGGGCCACGAAGGGCTGCGAGGGGGCCACGAAGGGATGCAACGGGGCCACGAAGGGCAGCGAGGGGGCCGCGAAGGGCAGAGAGGGGGCCACGAAGGGCTGCGAGGGGGCCACGAAGGGCTGCAACGGGGCCACGAAACAAAGCGAGGTGGCCACTAAGGACTGCAATGGCGACACGAAGGGCAGCGAATGGGCCACGAAGGGCTGCAACGGGGCCACGAAACAAAACGGGTGTCGGGAGCACGTCGCTTGAGTAAATTGCAGGAAATTCCAACGCAAGGGCGCTATTTTTCAGTAGATTGCAAGCAAGTCTCCAGCGAGAGCGCGACTCCAGAGCGCCGGGATAATAATTCTCAGGAAGTCCCAAGCGAGAGTTCGATTCCTGAATAAAACGCGAGGAAGTCTCGGGCGGGAGCGGGGGTCCTGGTTAAATTGTGAGGAAGTCTCAGGCGGGAACCGCTGTTGTTGTAAACCGGGGGCCATCGGAACAGTTTGACCTTCAAGACCTTCCCTGATAAAAAAGGGTGCGAGCCCCGGGAAAGGTACTTCAATCGAACAAAAACCATGTGCACCGGACGGGGTGGATCAACACGAACTAATTATTTATCAAAAAGGAGAACTCAACATCATCATCATCATCTGCAACAACATCAGCAACAACACCAGCAGCAGCAGCAACAACAACAACCACAACCACAACCACAACAACAACACTAGCAATAACAACGACAACAACAGCAACAGCAGCAACAACAATCCGCACTGTGGAACACCACTTCAGCCACGCACCCAGGGACAGTGAATGACCGTCCGGCCCCCTCACTCTGACGCTTGCCGATCAAACATTCAGGCAACTCTATGGGCGGCGGGGGTAGGGCTTGGAATGTGCCGAGCACGTAGCGAAATCAGAACCCTACCCCCGCCTTGTATCGATTCAGGAGAGTCAGTGGTTGTTGGGGGTAGGGGTCGCATGCCGCTACCTAGACCGACAGCATGTCCTGTCCATTTCGAACAGGACTCATTGCCAGTGTCGCCGCGGACGCTGTCCTTTTGAGACAGAAGGCCGCCTGCCCAGCAGCGGCCGCTGTCGGATTTGGACAACATCTGTTGTTGGGCACTGAGCCCATGTTTCCCGTACCTACTGTAGGCGTTCGAGCTGCCCCCGACCGCCTCCTCGCCCCGTCCCAGATCTCTGGGGGCCCCAAGCGTCGAAGGGCAACAGGCGGCATAAGCATGACGAGGAGGAGGAGGAGGAGGAGGAGGAGGAGGAGGAGGAGGAGGAGGAGGAGGAGGAGAGAAGGGGAGGAGGAGGAGGAGGAGGAGGAGGAGGAGGAGGAGGAGGAGGAAGAGGCGGAGGCGGAGGCGGAGGAGGAGGAGGAGGAGGAGGAGGAGGAGGAGGAGGAGGAGGATAGGGGAACGAATAATGACAGAGATCCGCACGGACTTCGTGGATCGGCGCTGGGCCCCCTTGGCGGCGCTTCTGGCGCCCGCCGCGCCCCGCGCGCCAGGGAGAGGGGTCCAGCGCCGTTCAAGAAATCCGCGCGGACCTCCGAGAGGCTGCTCCTTCCAGGCGGTGTGACAGGCTTCTTTTTGGACGGTCTCGTCGGCTTCCAGCGGTTTCTCATTTTCGGGGTGCATTCCGCGGCTGCGCCCCCCCTTCGCAGCGTCCCGACCGGCCGCCCGAGAGCCGGGTGAGGGCCCGAAAGCCAGGGAAGGTGCCCAAACGGTATTCTGCATGGCGTTGTCGTGCATCCCGGCGCAGCCGATTCGCTTCGATTTCGACCCCGTGCCGATGCAGCCTTAAGTCGGGCCTGTCCATTCACAGGAAGGATATATTCCAAAATATATACAAAATAGTCAGGGGACGATTTTTGTAATATTTTCGCATAGTTGTTTGTTTTTTTGTTGTTTGATTATTTGTTATTTTCCGTCTGAATCCCCCTGTAGGGGGGAAGGCCCGACCAAAATGCAGCCCGATCCGACGCACATTCCGATCCGATTCGAGTGCCCGATTCGATGCTGAGTCTTCTTGCCAGGAGGCCGCCTGTTCCCCCAGTGGCTCCCTCCCCCCCTGTCCGCGCCTCAGTGCTGCCGCGCCGCGGGCCCGCCTCCGCGAGATGAGCGCGCACACTTCCGGCGTATCAGCGCGCCTCGTGCGCGGGAGGCCCCCCATGAGGCCTCCGGCGCGAGGGGGTCGGCGCCGCCCGCAGGGATGAGAAGGTAGTCGTCGTGGTCGTCGTGGTCGTCGTGGTCGTCGTGGTGGTGATGGTGGTGGTGGTGGTGATGTTCGTCGTCGTCGTCCGTTGCACGTCGTCGTCCATGTTCGGGCTCGCGGTCGCAGTCATGGTCGCGGTGGCGATGGTCGTCGTCATCTCCGCCGACGTGGTCGCTGACGAGGGGGGAGGAGGAGGAGGATGAGGAGGAGGATGAGGAGGAGGATGAGGAGGAGGAGGAGGAGGAGGAGGAGGAGCAGGACCAGCTGAGGCGAGAGCAACATTTTGAAAAAGAAACGCCTTCAATCCATGAATGTCTTGCAACTTTCTGGACGAATGTGCGCGGCGCTAGGGCAGGCGAGAGCCACATGTTGAAAACGATCCGCCCTCCATCCGTGAAACCCTTTTGATGCTTCAAAACGAAAGCGCGTGGCGCTACGGCGAGAGCCAAATGTTTGATAGAACTGTTTTCCATCCGCGAGTATCTTGCAACTGCAAGAACGAATGTGCGCGGCCCGGCGAGAGCCACATTTTGAAAACGATCCGCCCTTCTTCCTTCCGTTATTGCACTTTCAAAGTGTCAGGCTCATAATTGGCGGAGAGATGGTAGGCGAACCGCCCCGAACGCCTTGTCCACTGGCCTTGGGGCTTTGTGCGTGACATGGAGGAGGTACCTATAAGGAGAAGGAATGGATGAGGAGAATGAGGAAGAGGAGGAGGAGGAGGAGGACCAGTGTAAACCTAAGAGTCATCAACGATGTTCCAAGTAACCCTCCCTCCAAGCTCCCTCTTCATGAGCCCCTACAACGGTTCATTCTGTTGAGGGAACTGCCTCGTTTGAAGACCACCGTTTGAAGACCTTGAAGCATGCCAAAACATTGGAGCAGGAGGAGGAGGAAGAGTAGGAGGAGGAGGAGGAGGAGGAGGAGGAGGAAGAGGAGGGGGAGGAGGAGGAGGAGGAGGAGGAGGAGGAAGAGGAGGAGGAGGAGGGGAAGGGGGAGCAGGAAGATAGGGGGAGGAGGAGGAGCAGGAAGGGGGAGGGGAGGTGCACGAGAAAGAGGTGGCGGGCGGAGGAGAAGGGTAGCAGGAAGCGGAAGGAGAAGGAAGAGGAGGAGGAGGAGGAGGAGCAGGAGGAGGAGGAGGAGGATAAGGTTGGTTGTGGGGGGGGGAGGAGCAAAGAGGAGGGGGGGAGGAGAAGGAGGAGGAGGTAGATGCTTCATCAATGCGGTTAAAGCGGGGCCATCGTGAAGCACGGAGGGAGGAGGAGGCGGAGGAGTCGGACGGGGAGGGGGAGGAAGCGGAAGGGCGGGATGAGGGGAAGGTGGGGACAGGCAGGATAAGGTGAGGGGAAGGATTGGACGATGAGTAAGTGGCGGAGGCGGAGGGGCACACAGGAGGAGGGGGTAGAGGGGGAGGGGGCAGGAGGGGGGATGAAGGAAATATTGAGCAGGGGGAGGGGGTGGGGGGGGAGGAGGGAAAGGAGGCGAGGAGGAAGGGCGGCTCGTGGGGGGTGGGTGGGTGGGTGGGGGGAACGGGGATTGCGGTGTGCAGTGAGGAGCAGGGGAGGGAGGAGGCGGGAGGGCAATTTGGAGGTGAAGGGGAAGGATGGTCTGAGAGGAGTGAGGGCGAGGGAGAGGAGGGACGAGGAGGAGGATGAGGAGGATGAGAACTGGACCAGGGAAGGATGATCTCTATCTGGCTGGCTGTGCATTGCGCTTCTCTCGAGAGCGGAGCAGGGGCAAGGGGCGAGGGAGGACGATCGAGAGGATGAGCAGCGAGAGGGCAGGGAGGAGCAGTTGGAGGACGGGGAGGAGAAGGACGAAGCGGAGGGAAGGAGGGGGGGAGGAGGAATAGGAGGAAGGGCAGCAGGAGTAGGAGCCCCCTGCCCGGGCCTGTACGTTTGCATGCTTTGCTGCCGCGCCCCCGCTGATGGCCAGCGCCATGAGGGGCCCGCGGCTGGCCGCCACCGCGGCACCTGCGAAAGGCAGCACGAAAAGCGGGCACGACTCGCGACCTATCGTCATCGATCACGGAGTGTCGTTTTGGTCATCTGCCCCAGGCAAACGGGGAGCGGGAGCGATCCTCCGCCTCTGCCTCCTCCTCCTCCGCCTCCTGAGACTGCTCGTCCTTCTCCCCATCCCCCTCCTTCTCCTCCTTCTCCTCCTCCTCCCCTTCCTCAACGTCGTCCTCCCCCTCCTCAGGAGAGATGGGAGAGGGGGGAGGGCGGCGGCGGTGGAGGGGAAGAGAACAGGAGGAAGAGGACAAGGTGGATGAGGACGACGGATAAGAGGCAGATGGAAGGAGGAGTAGCATGAGGAGTCACAGGAGGCGGAGGAGGCGGTGCAGGAGGAAGGAAGAGGGGGAGGAGGAGGAGGAGGACAAGGAGGAGGAGGAGGAGGGGGAGGAGGAGGAGGAGGAGGAGGATGAGGTGGAGAAGGCGGAGGAGGAGGAGGAGGAGGCAGGGCAAGATGAGGAGGAGGGGAATGCTCGGATGATGAGTTGGAGGATGATGGTGCCGACGACGGCACCGGGGTGGAGGAGGGGGAGAGGAGGAGGGGAGGACAGGGAGAACGAGAGCGAGGAGACGGAGGAGGAGGAGGAGGAGGAATGAAGAGGCAGCGAAGGCAGGGCGGGCAGCATGGGGGGAGAGAAGGCGCGGATGTGGGCGTGGAAGCGGATGCGGGAGGCGGGCCCCTTGCGGGCCGCAGGCAGTCGACGCGCCGAGCGCTTTCTCCCGCGGCTCTCTCCGTCGGATCCCCGCTCCTCCTCCTCCTCCCCCCGAGCGCGCGCCCGCTGCCCGCTGCCGCTTTCGTCCTGCTGGTACCTCGTCCTCCGCCCCTCCGTCCCCGTCATCCTCGTGCTCGTACGTCCTCCGAGCAGTTTCTTTTGGGTGGAGGGCAAGGGGTGAACTCTCGAATGCCGTGTCGATGGATTTTCGAGGCTAGAACCTGACGGTCTGATTTTCGAGGTGCAGAAGCCCATGTGGATTTCACCCTGAGCCCTCCACCCTGAGAAAATGCCCAGGTCCTGCGTCCTGCGTCCTGTTGCTTCGCAGCTGCTCTGAGTCCTGGCTCCTGGTTCTTGCTCCTACAATCGAAGCCGAAACAACTGCATAGGCATAAACTTTGTGAGCTCCGCGCAGCTCTCTTTGGTTGGCGCTGGGCCCCCCCTGGCGGCGCCTCCAGCTCCGCCCCGGGAGGAAAGTTCGCGCGCAGCTCCGGAAGCTGATGTTTGCGTTGTGGTTTCTACCTCGGTTTCTACTCCTCCCCCTCCCCCACACGAGCCTCCCTCTTCCCCCCCTCCCTGCGCGTCATCGGCTTGGTCCCCCCCCCGTTCCTGCTCCCTCCTCCGCTGCTCGGCGCCGGGCTTCACAGCTCTGCTCACCGCCGGTTCAGTGCCGGGTTGAGTGGGGCCTTCGACAGAGCACGGCCCCGCGCTGATGCCACCATCCCACCATTTCCCTCGCCGTCGCGTTCCCCGTCCCCCGTCCCCCTCCCTCTCGTCCTCCGTTCCCCTTCCCCTTCGCTTCCCGTTCCCCTCCTCTCGTGCCCCGTTCCCCTCTCTCCCCCCCTTTCCGCCTCCTTCGCCGTTGTGTCCCTCCTCGTACCCATTTCCAGTCCCCCTCGTCCCCCGCTCCCCTCCCTCTCGTCCCTCCCGCTCGCGCCTCGCGCTCCCTTCCCGCCCTCCCTCCCCGCCCGCTCCCCTCCGCTCTCCCCTCCCCGCTCCTCTGGCGCCCCTCCTCCCCCCCCCGCCACCCTGTCGCAGCTGTGCGTGGCACAGTTTGGAGGGATCCTTTATCACGCACGCGACGGGTTCTGAACAGACACCCTGGTGCAAAATTCCTAACCCACCCGCTCCGACCCTCAAGGGTCCCGCTTGGCTCCGCCCCCCCCCCCTCCTGCTCGCTCCCTTGCCCCGCCTCCCTCCCCTGCGATCCGACGCTGCAACAGGCGGCAACGCGCCGCGAAAGATCACGACACCAGAGCCCTCGACCTTGACTTCCCGGATGCATTTTTCCAACCAGGCTGACACTTGGCGGCCTCCGTGGCCCGAGCTTTGGAATACAAATCTCCTGCTGCGACAAAATCCCCCGCGGCGACAACAAAATGGCGATGGCAGGATCCCAGGGCTCTCGCACGATACAACAGCTGACGGTCCCACGCCTGTGAAGGGGATACACTCGACTCACCCCGCATAGCAAGGATGCGCAATGTTCCAAGGTTGCCCTTGCATCCTTCCCCTTCGGCCCTTCCTTGGCCGCTTTCGCTGACCGCGCCCCGCCCGCAGAGTGTCGACGTGGCCTTCCAAGGCCCTTGCATCCTGATCGTGCGTCCTTATCATCCAGGCTGACTGTAGCTCGCTTCTTCAGTCGCTCTGGGTGAGCCTTGGGCGTCCACGCCGCTGCTTCGGCATGGCTGTGGCGCTCTCTCCTCACGTGCTCGCAGGAGCAGCGCCGGAGGGGACAGGAAGGTGCTGCCTGACTGCGCCGCTCCGCTGACTGCGGCCTCCTCCTCCTCCTCCTCCTCCTCCTCCTCCTTCTTCCTTCTTTCCCCCTCCCCCCCTCGTCCTCCTCCTCCTCCTCCTCCTCCTCCTCCTCCTCCTTTTCCTCCTCCGTCCTCCTCCTCCTCCTCTCCTCTGGCAGCGGGAGACCGCAGACCGACAGAAGCTGGGGCCGACTTTTTTCTGTGCTTCGCTCCGAGCGGCCTTGATGGTCGGCGCCCCCCGCCGCGGCGCTGCGGCAGCGGCCGACCGGCCCGCTGCTCCGCAGGGCCCGTCGGCGGGGGGGCCCTTCGCCAGGGCCACCAGGCCGCAGGGCTCGACCCGAAGCGGTGCTGCGGCCTGTCGTCCTGCAGCAGGTAAAACGACGCGAAGATCGGGACAAAATCGGATCGGGATAACTCGAAATCTCTGAGAATCGGTGGGTTTGGAGGATGTATTGGGCGCCGCGGCCGCTCCAGAGCGTTCCGGAACGCTCTGAGAGCGCTCCGGAACGCTCTGGAGCGATTTATCCCGATCCTAGCCTTGTTTTAGCAGGGGCGGAACGAAGATCGGGCCAGACGAAAGGGGGGGATTGGGAAAGCGGGGGTTACGAAATTTGCTGCATGCAGCTGGTTTCGGCCTCACCGAGGGGCCCATTCCTCGATACATAGTCGCCTCCGGCGCCGGGAGGCGCCGGGAAAATCAGCTACGTGAGCTGATTCTCAAACCCCCCTTGCTATCCCCCCCTTTTGTCCGACCGGAAGACGCGGAAGCAGAACGACAGCGAAAGCCGAAAGCCGCCACCGTTTGGGTCGAGCCCTGCCAGGCCGCCCTCCGCAGCCGCCGCGGCGGCCGCGGCCGCCGCGGGCGCCGCGCCCTCCTCCGCCGCGGTGGCCGCGGCCGCGGCAGGCGCTGAGCCCTCGCCCGGCCGAGCGCTGGGCGGCCTGGGTTTCCAGGATCGGTGCTCCTGAGGACCCCGTCCCTCCTCCTCCTCCTCCTCCTCCTCCTCCTCCTCCTCCTCCTCCTCCTCCTCCTCCTCCTCCTCCTCCTCCTCCTCCTCCTCCTCCCCTTCTTCCTTCTTTCCCCCTCCCCCCCTCGTCCTCCTCCTCCTCCTCCTCCTCCTCCTCCTCGTCGTCCTCCTCCTCCTCCTCCTCCTCCTCCTCCTTTTCCTTCTCCTCCTCCTTCTCCTCCTCCTCCTCTCCTCTGGCAGCGGGAGACCGCAGTCCGTGCGCACGCAGTCCGTGCGCACGTTGGCCGTGTTCCCCCTCGCGTCGTGGAAATTACACGACGGAGGGCTTCGGCCCCGCGCAGAGGGGGGCGGGGGGGGGAGGGCTTTACAGAAGCGCCCCTGCTTCTTGGAAGGCGCGGGCCTTGTCTGTAAATGTGGGGCCGACGCCTCCTTAGAAGCAGCCTCCTTCTAAGAAGCCCTCCCCCTTCCCTCCACCCCCGCGTGCGCGCGGCCAGTGCTTTTCGGGGGGCTGTTTGCCTCCGCCAGCCTTTGTCGGGCCCCTAGGCCGTCAGAAAGCCGGAGGAGCCGGCCCTGGGGAGCGGGTCGAGACCTCCGGAGGCCCACGTGAATCATTCGGCGCGGGGATCCCCACATGACATGTGCAATTCGTGAGCCTCTGGCTATGAGTGCTTTGTGCGTGTAAGAGCGAGTCTGATGAATCGAAGGCGGGTGCGACGACGACGAAGACGACGACGACGGCGACGACGACGACGGTGGCGGCGGCTACGGTGGCGGCGGCTACGATGAGGGACGGCGGCGACAACAACTCACAGCAAAGCACCCTATTGGCAGCAAAGGTGAAGAAGAGGCGGGTCGAGAAGTAAGAGGTCGGCTAGGCGAGTGAAAGCGTGCATCCCTATGTATCCCTAGGAAAGCTGACAGGCGGGACTCGGGTGAGTGCACGGCCATGTGCATCTTGGTGTATATTTGCCGAGGGATCGTGGCCGTCCAGACAGAAATGTAGCTGGCATTGCACCGAGAGCCAGATTTTTGAATACATCGTCGGCTGGCGGATCGCCTCCGAACCAGGCGGTCTCGGGCTCCTCGCCCCCCCTGTGGGACTCGTGCGTGTTTTTCTGTTCCAGACCATCCAGTGCTGTTGGGTCCTTGTTTTGAAGAGGCAGCACCGCGCTTCTCTCCTCCCGCTGCCCCCTCCTCCCAGTCCTGCCTCTGCCCTCCGCATGTCCATTTCGGCTCACCCCTCACACGTTTTGCGGCCCTATGGGGAGCTCCACCGAAGGCCCATGCCGCAGTGCTCACATGCGGGCGTCGCACCAAATCCGGCGCACCCGTCACACGTTTGGTTGCCTCCGTGGCAGTGCTCACATGCGGGCGTCGAACTCATTCCGGTACACCTCTCACACGTTTCGTGTCCCCATTGAGAGCTCCTCCGAAGGCCCAAGCGGCAGTGCTCACATGCGGGCGTCGCACCAAATCTGGCGCACCCATCACACGTTTTGTTGCCCCATAGGGAGCTCCTCCGAAGGCCCCCGTGGCAGTGCTCACATGCGGGCGTCGCACATACTTCGGCACACCTCTCGCACTTTTCGTGGCCCTAAAGGAAGCTCCTCCGAAGGCCCAAGCGGCAGTGCTCACATGCGTGCGTCGCGCAAATTGCGGCACACCTCTCGCACGCTTCGTGGCCCCATAGGGAGCTCCTCCGAAGGCCCCAGTGGCAGGGTTCGCATGCGTCCCCCCGCACCATTTCGGCACATCTCTCGCACGTTTCGTGGCCCTACAGGGAGCTCCGGAGACCCCAGTAGCAGGGTTCGCACGCGTCCGCCCGCACCATTTCGACACACCTCTCACACGTTTCGTGGCCCCAGAGGGAGCTCCTCCGGAGACCCCAGTGGCAGGGTTCGCACGCGTCCGCCCGTACCATTTCGAGACACTTCTCACACGTTTCGTGGTCTCACAGGGAGCTCCACCGAAGCCCCAGTGGCAGGATTCGTATGCGTCCCCCGCCCCGTTTCGGAAATCTCTCACACAATTCGTGGCCCACAGGGAGCTCCACCGAAGGCCCCAGAGGCGACGTTCGCATGAGGCCGCCCGCCCCATTGCGGCACACCCCTCAAACGTTTCACGGCACCACAGGGGCAGGGTTCGCATGCGTCCCCCCGCACGAGTTTGGCACACCCCTCACATGTTTCGTGGACCCATCGGCAGCTCCACCGACGGCCCCAGTGGCTGCGTTCGCATGGCACTACCGCGTCCATTACGCTTCGTGGCCCCAAAGGGGGCTCAACAGAAAGCGGTACCCACAGCGCTGTAGTCACATTGAATACGGTTGGGTCCTTCGTCAGGGTCATCCACCTGTGCTAGTCCCCTCGGGCGAAAGGCGACAATGGAAACAAAAGCACAGGACGAACTGCTTTTGCTGCGTTCGTGCCCTGGCCCTCGCAAGCCCCACGACCGACAGAAGAACATGGCCCGGGGCGGAAAGCCGGGGTCGAGTCTTCCTGGGGGGCTCCACGCTGCGAAGGCGGGGGCCGTGCAGCCCCGGCCACAACACACAGCCCGTGCCGGCCCTCATTGCACCGCCTGTGTCGTGCCTGCTCACGACCAGCGAACCTACACGTGTCCGCGCCTTTCTGCGGTCTGGATTCCAGGGCGCGATCCAGCGGATACGCGGTCGCACGGATGCGCTCCGCGCTGGGCATCCACGAGCAACACGCCCCATATCCGCGGGGTCGCGGCCCAGGGCCCGGCCCGCGAGGCCGCGGATACGGGTGTGTTTTTCGCACGAGGTTTATTGAACTTGGCATCGCTCGGACGTGTGCATTTTTTCCCGGCGAGAACCATCGAGGACCATCCTGGACCATCGAGCAACAAAAAAAACACGAAAGACACTGACAAATGCACGGGAAATGGACGTCCGAGCGACGGCAAGTGAAGGACTGCAGTAGACAAGCACACGCTGGCGCGTCCTGAGGGGCCTCGGCAGGAGCGGCAGGACGCGCTGCTGGTGCGGAGGGGCCGCGCCAATGCCGCTTCGTGCTCGCGGGAGGCGGCGCCCAGAGGAGGGAGAGGCAGTGATTTTGGATGGGGTATTTGTCAGGGGGGCTGATTGACCTTGCGACGGAGCTTTCCTATCCTCACCCGCCCCCCTCCCTCCTTTTCCCTCCGTCTTCTCGTCCTCGTCCTCCTCCTCCTCCTCCTCCTCCTCCTCCCCCCCCTCCTCCTCCTCCTCCTCCTCCTCCTCCTCCTCCTCCTCCTCGTCCTCCTCCTCCTCCTCCCCCCCCCTCCACACGTGACCAACCCCCCCAGCGGGTCCAAGGGGTGGGGGACGATTATTGTCCCATCCAGAGTGCCGATGCCGCTGCCCTTCCCTGTTTCTACCTCTTGGGGCCTCACGGGAGGCCACCGTCGCTACGGTTGGAGTCGCCTCGAAATCAATGTCAGGACGCTCCCTGGAGCAGCGGTATTTCTTGATAGCGTTTTGCTAGAGGGCTCAAATAGAGACATAAAAGTAAGAGAAGAATGATCACGGAAGAGCCCCACAGGGGAAGCGGGGAGTTCGAGACCGCTTGGCCTGGCAGCGGTCCGGCTTTGGCGGCGGTTTCGCCTGAGACTTCTCCACGATATATTCCAGAGTTGTTCTTCGCCTCAGGCTGAATGCTTGGTCCGGACGACCACGACCCTTTTTGTACAACGTGCACTATCGAGGGGCGCATGGCCGTGTTACAGCCCCGGTGCCGGCACATGTCTGCTCTGGATGGCCACGATCCTTGGTAACAGATATTCAGGAGGGAAAAAACACACAGACACAAGTAATCGTCGATTCCCGAGAAAATATTGGACAATATGGGAAATGGGGGGGAAGACAAAATCCAGAAAATATGGCGAAATATGAGAAATCCTGTTATTTGTGTGTATTTCTGTGTGTGTGTGTGTGTCCCAGGGCCCTTTCAGATACGCTGGGGTGCACGTGGCCGTACACGGCCTCTGCCGCTGCCAGGGCGCTCTGCCGAGGCCATCGGTGCCTTTCCTGCTCCGCCCCTCGAGGCGGTGCCGCTGGCGGGCCCGGGCGACCCCGGCGAGAGCGCCGCCGGGGACGGCGCATCGGTCGCCGAGAGCGCGGCCAGCCGCTTCTCGAAGGCGCCCTCGGTGCACCCGTCGCTGGCCGGCTCCGTGGCGGTGTCGCTGGCCTGCTCCGAGAGCACCATGTCGGGGAGCCAGGGGCAACCCCACTCCGCAGGCCCAGCGGGGGGAGGTCCTTCCTCGGGAGAGGGGGGAGGAGGGAGGAGGAGGAGGAGGAGAAGGAGGAGGAGGAGGAGGAGGAGGAAGAGGAGGAGAAGGAGGAGGTACAGATACCGCTAGCCTCTCCTCGTCCCCACTGCTGGAATGCGCGTCGACGGCCTGGCCGGAGCGCACCACCTGAGAGGTCATGGGGAGCAGCGACGTCGGTGCCTTTGGGCCCGCATTAATTAGCTTATCTCGATGCCGAGCTGCAGGACCCTCAGGTCGATGTCGATACCTTATATCGATGTCGATGTCGATTCTGAGGATTACCTTATCTCGATGTCGATACCTTATCTCGATGCCGATGGTTTCTGAGGGCGCCTCCCTCGGATTGTGAGATCGGTGCTTCGCGCGCCCCGCGGGCGGAGGGCCTTCCCAGGCCCATGGCCTGCAGCGGACGAAGCAAGGTACAAGTGGGGGCTGGCTCCAGAAGCCATGTGCTTTTCGTCGGGGAGTCCTGGGTTTCTTCGCGCCTCGCGCTACGCGGTGACTTCCCGCAGCCGTTGAAAGAGCCGCGGCGTTCAGGGTGCTCGAAGTTTCCCCTCAGGTGCACCTCGTGCACGGTTCCTTTGGGTTTCTTGCGAGGGTTTCTTGCAACCGCGCCCGCACTGTAGAAGATGTTTTGATCCACTGTCGTGGACGCCTGCCACAGGGCGGCTGGAATATTTAACCCCCCGCAGAACACCCCGTCATTGCAAATCAGAGTGAGGGGGCGGGTCGCGGGGTGGTCGCGAGTGGGTGGGTCGCCGAGGGGTCGCAGGCGATGACAACAGCCGGCGCACGGAATCCCACTTCACCCACGCACCTAGTGATGGTGGAACACCATTCGGACCCCTCACTCAGATGAGATGATTTGATCCGCCGTCGTGGACGCCTGCCCCAGGGCGGCTGGAAGGTTTATACCCCTAAGGTGGCACGTCGGGGAAGAACCTTTCCATCTGCCCTGTAGCGGACGTCCCTGACGCCGGAAGAGTTTCTTTGCACCTCTTTTGTCTGCTAAGAGATGCGGACGTCTGCCACCACTTGCTCACCCTCATGGGCAGGTCCACTCGGCGCTGGAGCATCGGACTTTGACGACAGCGGCGGCGGCGGCGGTGGCGACGACGACGACGACGATGATTACCACCACCCACCACCGCCACGACAACCACGACCACGACCACTCGGCGCAGGTCCACTCGGCGCTGGGGTGTCGGGCATCCCCGCTGAGGTTCACCTGGCCGCAGACATCCTTCAAGTGATGAGCCCTGACCAATTTTTCTGAAGTCCGACCTGCAAGGGCAGGGTTTGCGCCTGGTTGCCCAGCATGTACATCACCTGCGTCGGGCGATCGGCAGCGGGGGACAATACCTGGGAGGGGGATCGAGGACTGCAGGCAAGTCGCCCTGAACGGCACCTCAGGTGATACGGCGGGCCCACGAGGTGCACGTTTCTTCACTCCTGGTTTATTCCTCCCCTGTTAGCGCTCGCCCGACTGGGGGATGAAATATCGAGATAATGAAGGACGTTGATTTTTCCTATCGTCAAATCGCGGCACTTCGGATTGAACGTTGTCTCAATACTTCAGCATTTCAATCTGGAGCCTCCGGATTGAAAGATCCTTAAATCTTTCAATGTTTCGATCTTGATTTTCCGGATCGAAAGATCCCTCATGTGTTTACATTGCCATCGGTTTCCCAAACATTGTCAAACCGATCGGGCCCCCCCGAACCGAGCAACAGGCATCGCTTAGTCACAGACGGTGGGTGCGTGTTGACCCCGCCTCGGGCTCTCCTCCGCTGCAGCTGGTGGCGGTGGATCCACTCCCCGCCCCCTGCGTCCCCAGAGCTGTCTGCGTCGCTGCTGGCCGCGCGTTTTGCGTGCTGCGTGTGCGCGTGTGCTACTACGCCGCGCCGCTGCGCGCGTGGTCGTGACGCCACGCGTTTGTGGACAAAGAAGAATGTGCGTGTGTGTGTGTGTGAGTATGTGTGTGCGCGTGTCCGTGTTTATCTGTGTGCCGCGCCGCCCTATTTCCGCGCTCGTGGCTGCCGCGCCACTCTATGTTCAAGAGTCTGTGTGTGTGCGTGTGTGCTGGGTGTGGGCGCGTGTGTGTGTGTGTGTGTGTGCATGTGTATGTGTGTAATTATGTGTATGTGTGTGTGCGCGCGTGTGTGTGCGTGTGTGTGAGTGTGTGCATTTGTATGCGTGTATGTGTGTGAGTGTGGTTTGTGTGTGTGTGTGTGTCTGTGTCTGTGTCTGTGTCTGTGTCTGTGTGTGTCTGTGTGTGTGAGCTTGTGTGTTTGTGCATTGTCTGCCGTGTATGCCCTTCTTCCCGCCCCCTGCGCCTCCTGTCCTTCGTCTGTGGTCCGCCACTCGTCCGTCGTCGTCTTTCTTGCTCTCTTCCATAGGGCTCCTTGCGCGCTTGGAACAAATGCTGGCGATTTGGTACGTGTGCGTGTGTGTGTATTGGGCCTTGCCTCCTCTCCTCCTCTCCTGTCGCACCGAGGCTCCCCCTCTTCCTCCGTGCATGGCGGCCTCAATTTGCATACAGCGTGTCCGTGTCCCTCGTTGCCCATCCGCCAGAGCAGTCACCCTCTGCCCAGCCGCCGACGCAAAAAAGCGTGTGTGTGTGTGTGTGTGTGTGTGTGTGTGTGTGTGTGTGTTTGTGGGCGTGTGGAGGGTGTCCACGGACGTTCGTTATGTGTTTTGCAGCATCTTTGGGGGCCTCGTCGGTCCTATCGCGCCGGCTATTCTACGTGTCGAATTAGCTTAGATCCCGCGTCGAGTCCCCGTCTGGCCCGCGTCGGGTGCAAGAGGAACGAAACGGCAGAAAACGTCGAGACAGTCGAGGCCCCCTCCCGAAGATGTAGGAAAGACGTCCGACGGTGTCATTCATGAGGGGAGGTCGGCGACACAAACATACAGAGACATAGATTTCAACACAAATTTAGAAATAATAGAGAAACACAGCAGCGTGTTTCTGGCAGCATATGGAGCAATCTGTGTGGTGCAACGTGTTTGGTGCAACGTAGGTTGTGCATTTGTTGTTGTGCAAATTATGCTTTGCAGCAAACGGTATGCGATTTATGAGGTACAACAGATGTTCTGCAACCTATAGCTGTGAATCTGGCGCAGCACTTGTAGCGCAATTTATGTTGTGCAACATATGGTGTGCAGCCCATGCTGTACACCCTGGGTGGTGCGATCTACGTAGTGCAACGTGTGTGAAGCAGTCAATGTGGTGCAACACGTGTTGTGCAATAGATGTTGTGTTATCCATGTTGTGCAGCATTCGTGGTGGAATATACGTGGCGCAATACATACTTTGCTCTTTATATAGCGAATTCTGTGATAATTGATTTTGATTTCTTCGCGCATGAACACCTCTCATGCTCGCGCAAACATCCCACCCACCCGCCCGCGACGTGTTTTGCAGATTCCATGCGGCGGCGATTGCGATGGCTGCGTGGTGCTGGCTGGTGCATCGCTGCGGCCGCGCTAACCCGCGCATGCTCGCGCGCACAGCGGCCAGCTTGTCTGGCGCGACCGACGCGGCCGTTGTGGCGCTGACCGCCGGGAGCTTCCCCGCGCGTCTCGCAGGCCGCGCTGACGCGCGGGTGCATCAGCGCGATTTGGTGTCTTGGGCCCGCGCGGTATCATGGCGACGTTGATACCAGCAGACACGGTGATGATAGCAGCGATGCCGGTGACGATGATGACGATGACGGTGGCAGGGCCAATGCCGACGCCGACGCTGATTTCGCCGATGACGATGATGGCGTCCACGCATCGGTGATGAAGGTCGTGGACGGATTTTGTCATGCGCGCACAGCCGGCGCGCGCGAGTTGCCCCCATGATGTTACTGGCCAGGGACCGTGCCACCCCAGGTCCCACGCCAGGGCGTTCGAATGATTTCGACACGCTCGCGCGACGGGCTCGATCGGTTACGTTGGATGAACGTGTTGAAACACTTGCGGTTCCCCAGCGAAGTTGCACGGATGCGTGCGCAGACTGTTTGGGGGAAAAATCTTGTTGCCAATCATTCCGCTCTGTTTCCGGGACGTTCGATTTCGAAACACGTACGAAACATTTGGTTGTTGCTGGAAATCTCGGCATGCGCGCGCGACTACGCGCGCGCGTGCACTTTTTCAGGATTGTTTGTGCGTGTATGTGTTTATTATGTTGCAAAGAATGTTTGGCAAACAGTGCTCGCGCATAGCTTCTTACCTGGAGGGATGATGGGCGGATGCTTCCACTGGCTGGGTTGGGGTGGTATGAGCTCATGTTTGGAATAAACGATGTACCCGCGGGGGCGCCGATAATCCCAGGGGTGGGGGCAGTTTTTTTTTGTTTTTCCTTCGAAGGTGGAATCTATATGAGCCAATGTGCGTTGTGCATAATGTGCAGTGTAATCAACGTTGTGCAATGCATGTTGTGCAATCTACACGTCGCAATCTACGTTGCGAGCGATCAGAAATGCGCCCCAGGCTTGAAACAACAATTCGTGCAGTCTGCGTGGTGCAATCCAAAGGTGGCGACGAGCGGCGACGAGGCGTTGTCGGGGCGGCGACGGCAGCTACATAGCCGCCAGACCGAAAGGCAGGCCCAATTCTTTTCCAGTGGTAACATGAACCCTTCAGCGCAAACTGCTATTTGGGGAATGTAGGTGATCCTGGAATATGTATCTACCGATGTATACCTCCATGTGGCCCTTTAGTTTTGGTCCCCTGGCTCCTCGACCCATCGGGGCGGGCGACAACACGGGCTACTGGGACTTCCAGCACAGGACGGTGAGCAGGCAGGACCTGGGGCAGCGGTGCCGCGAGTGCAGGAGTCGAGGGACATCAATGACGTAGCCATGCAGTCGACGCTGACATAAGGACCGCTTTGGACTCAGGAGGAGCTGGGGGTTTCGGGCCTTTCTTTGGCTTAGATCAACGCCGTGGAACATGTTTGTGGCCTGGCCCCGCCGTGGCCATACAAGAACCTCCCTTTCCTTGCTATGCGCTTCCTGGTGGCAGGTAGCAAAATGACTACACACATTCAGAGTTCTGCGAGAATTTCCCGGATCGGCGCTGGGCCCACTTGGCGGCGCCTTTGGCGCCGCCCCTGGCGCGCTCCGCGCGCCAGGGCGGGGGGTGGGCTCCGGCGCCGATGCAAAAGACCCGCGCAGACCTCCAACAGTTTCTGCCGTTGCAGTGTCTTGCTTCTCCAAGGAGGCCCTTTGACACGCTGGGCGAGCCCCTCTTGGCGGCGCGCGCCAGGGGGGTGGCGCCAGGGGTGAGGCCTTCTCAGAAGGCGGGGTGCTTGTGAGAAGGCGGGCGCCTCTTCGGAGGCCTTGGAGGGTCCGCAGAGCCGGGATGGCTCCCCCCGGGCCTTCGAGAGGCCCCCCCCAGGCCTCTCAGAGGGCCGCCACCCTCGCGCGCCCCCCCGTGCGCGCCGCCAGCCCTCACCGAGAGGCGCGGCGCGCGCATCTCCATGCGCTACCACGGCGAGTGCTTCAGCGGCTTCGCGGACCCGCGCTCGCAGGCCATCGAGGGAAGCAGCACGGGGACCATGACCAAGACGTCCGGGGATCCTGTCGATGACGATCTCGGTCAGGGTCCATGCAGGCCGTCGCCGAGCTGCGAAGACGATCCACGAAATGACGCTGACCGAGATCGACGGTGACCAAGATCGCCACGACGTTTCCACGCTCAGTCTTGGTCATGGTCCCCGTTGTCTGCCCCTCCAGGCCAGCTCCTCCCACCACCAGGGGCCTCTGGCCGGCACGCAGCTGGGCGCGGCGCCCGCGGAGAAGGCCGGCGCGAAGATGCGCACCGGCAGCCACTTCGAGAGCGCGGGACGCGTGGCGCCGGCCTTGGCGGAGAGCCTGGGCGGGAAGTTCGGGGGCCAGATGAGCATGGGGCACCTGGGCGGTCTGCGAAACAGTCCGGTTTTCGGACGTCCTCGCTGCGTGTCCGCTCAGGACGATCGGAGTGGGCACGGAAAGGATGGGCACGAAGATTAGCAGCAGTCCTTGCTCGTTCTCAACAGGAATCGTTGCCGGCGTCACCGCGGACGTTGTCCATTCGATGCAAACGGTCGCCTGCCCACCAGCGGCCGCTGTCGACTTCGAACAACACTTGGTGTTGGGCATCGTACCCATTTTTCCCGTACCTGGTTCGGGCTTCCAGATCGGCGGGTTTTCAGTCGCCTGACGCTTTCCAGCGGCTGCTCCTCGCCGAGAGGGTTGCCTGGAGCGTTCCGAACAGCCGTCTGAGAGCTGAGTTATGGCCCGAAAGCCAGGGGTCAACTTTAGGGGGGGATCTGCTCAGAAGGGGATGCATCGACCCCCAATCGCCCATTCATCGCCGATGGGGGCCCGATAGCCACACCCCGCCCAGGAACGTGCGTCTTCGCTATCGGGGGCCAATCGCCGATCTGTCTGCAATGTATCGCCGACTCCAGGTCGATTGTTCCCCGCTCGCCCCCCCCGAACGAGCCTGGGTGGGAAGTTTGGGGGCCAGATGAGCACGGGGCACCTGGGTGGACAGCGAAACACTCGGAGTTTGGCGAGTTGAGGCAGCGCCAGTTGGCCTTCGTGGTGCTTCTCGTCGCCGCGGCTGGACGCAGCTCGGAAAACTGGTGCGAAAGAAAGGAGCTACGGCAGCTTTGCGCCGTGTCGACCGGCGGCGACCCTGCCGCCGGCGTTCAAGGTTGAACGCCGCTGGCGACCCAGAATCGGTCGAGGTGGACCGATTTGGCGTGTCGCAAACGGTCGATCGTTCAAGGTGGAGCGATCCCCGCGCTGTCGGGAACCAACGCCAGGGTCGGCACGGCACGAATCTGCCGCACGATGAGTGGGGTGCAGCTTTCTGGATAGAGGGGGGAGCGGCTTCCCATCAGCACGTCCGCGCGCCATCAGCACGTCCCGTGCGCGGCGAGGCGAGGGAGGAGAGCACGCACGTCATCAGCACAAACTTTCGGAGGTCCGCGCGGATGGCTTGGATCTGCGCTGGGCTCGGCGGTGAAATCCGAACCCTACCTATCCTTGCCGATCAACGATTCAGGCAACTCGATGCGCGGCGGGGGTAGAATTCGGAATTCGTCGAACACGTGGCGACGTGCGAACCCTGCACCCGCCTCCCATGCATTCAGGGGAAAGCATGGTCGGTGGGGGTCGGTACTGGATGTCGCCACCTATGTCAGAGCGTGAATTACCTACCCCGCTTTCGCTTCCAGGCAAAACCAAGCCATACCACGCGCCTCCTCGTCAAGCGGCCTGGCCAGTACAGGCTGCAATTTGGCATCGCTTGGTATCTCTTGGAAGCGAGGGTGGTCAAAAGCGAGGTAGGTTTGTTTTCCCCCTACTATGGGCCCGTCCGGCGGCACCTCCAGCCCCGCCCCCGGCACGCCCCGCGCGCCAGGGAGGGGGGCCCCTGCGCCGAGCCAAGAAATCTGCGTGGAGCCCCGAAAGCGCGTGCTTTCTGCGTGTGCTGTTCCTTCCAGTCTGCTCCAGGGGCAACGATCGGGGGGGATAGGCATAGGGGGGAGGCATCGACCCCCAATCGCCCATTGATCGCCGATAAGGGACCCATAGCCCCAACCTGCCCAGGGACGTGCGGATTCACTATCGGGTGCCGGATATCCAACATCCGGATCCATCATCCGGACGACGACGAACCAACATCCGGATATCCAACATCCGGATCCCATCATCCGGATATCCAATATCCAACGGACGACGAACAATCCAACATCCGAATAAGAATGCACTACATTGAACGCTTCCTGTCCACAGGTCCAGCGAGCACGCGTGCCGGTGGGGCAGCTCAGGTGCGTTGAGCGGCTTCTTAGGCCCATCGAGAGACAGGACGACAAGTTTGCAGAAAGACAATTGTTCGGAGCCCAGCGCCTCTTGAGCCGCCCCGGGAGAGGTTTCGGCTTCCGGTGTCGATCCGAGAAACCCATGCGGACCTCCAAAAGCTTGCGTTCGTGCACTGGTTCTGCTTGTGGACATGGCGCCTGGAACGTCTGCTCGCATGACTTCTTCCCGCTGGGGGTCGTTTTTTGCGGGCCCAGGGGCCCCAAGCGGGCAACTCTTCTTAGCCCCAAACTGCGGCGGATTTGTCCGTCGCCATGCCCAGGTTTCGTTGTGGCTGGCTTGCCAGGTCTGCGAGCAGGCAGGCACGGACGGGTGAGAGCAATTGGTTGTCATGTCGTCTGGCACATGTTCGCGACCACGAAGGAGGGGCACAAACACGAATGTCTCGAAGAGTTCCCCAGCAAATCACCCCAACAGCAGCCTGGACAAGCATGGGAAAGAAATGGCGCAGGCGGGACAGGGCAGAGAGCACGGCCACGTGCACCTCAGTGGACCAAGAGTGCAACCAGCATCGGGGCGAGAGCACGATTCTAGAATCAGTTGTGAGGACGTCTCGGGCGAAGCTGCCGCAGGATCGCTGCCAGACTGGGCCGGGCTCGAGCTCCCCAACAGGAATGCTTCGAAGAGGGAGTCAAACATGAATGTGCCCTGTAGCGTACCTTCGGGCTTCGCTGGGGCAAAGAATGCACATGCGTTTCACATAGCCAGTCTTCTTGCCGATGCGCCGTCCAGGCGCGGCTTTGTGTGTGTGTGTGTTCGAAGAAGAGACGCCACATAAGCGTAGATTTCCGGAGGTCTGGGCGGATTTTCATGGCGGCGCCCCGCGGCGGGTTTCGCGTTCCAGCGAGGGAGGATCAGCGCCCATCCAGGAGATCCGCGCGGAGTTCTGAGAGGTTAGGTTGTTGGCATTGTCGTGTCCCGTGAACCACTGAAAGCTGTGACCACGATGGAGGAGGAGGGGGGCAAACAGGGATGTTGGCCCGACGCCGAGGCGCAACAGACAGGAGAGGCGAGAACAATGTGTCACGTGGTCTGGCACACATGTGTGACCACGTGCAGGCACCCCCACGTCTGGCGCACACGTGTGACCACGTGTGTGACCACGTGCAGGCACCCCGACGTCCCCCGGATGTGCCTTTTTCGCTCCGCGGCCCCAGAGGCCCGACCGCTTCCCCAGATATAGGCATTCGTCCCCGATCCGTGTTTGATGGCCCCGGGGGCCCGAGAAGCGGCCCCCGGGGCCGAAATGGAGGAAAACCACCCGGAGTGAAAGAACATATCGTCGCTGACTTGGGAAGGAGAGAAATGAGGATGAGGATGCTGCTGATGAGGATGATGAGGATGATGAGGATGATGAGGACGATGATGATGATGATGATGATGATGAGGATGAGGATGAGGATGAGGATGAGGATGAGGATGAGGATGAGGATGAGGATGCGGATGGATGATGGTGATTCACGATGATGATGTTGATGCTGATGCTGCTGATGCTGATGCTGCTGATGCTGGTGCTGATGCCGATGCTGCTGCTGCTGATGATGATGGTGATGAGGATAATGAGGATGATGAGGATGATGAGGATGCGGATGCGGATGCTGCTGATGATGATGATGAGGAGGAGGATGAGGACGAGGACGAGGATGAGGATGAGGATGAGGAGGATGAGGATGAGGATGAGGATGAGGATGAGGATGAGGATGATGATGATGATGATGCTGATGATGCTGGTGCTGATGCCGATGCTGCTGCTGATGATGATGATGGTGATGATAAGAATGATGATGATGATGATGATGATGATGATGAAGATGATGAGGATGATGAGGATGATGAGGATGCGGATCCTGCTGATGATGATGAGGAGGATGAGGATGAGGATGAGAATGAGGAGGATGAGTATGAGGATGAGGATGAGAATGATGAGGATGATGAGGACGATGAT